AGAATATCTTATTTTGAATATAATTGTATATTACATTTGTTATTTAAAAATTTATTTAAACAGTTCTGTATTCAATATCAAAAGGGGAGGTAACAATGTAAGGTTTAAAGTGGGTTGGTCAGTGGCGTAGTTAGGTTGGTTGACAACAGTTGCGGTAATCCAGGGAGCCCCCCCCCCCTTCAGCCGCCAAAGATGTATTAAAATTAATGTCATGTTGGTATAGGTTCATAACTATATATCAACCACGTTTACAATTGTGGCATGTGATCTACACGTCCAGAAAAAAAAACCACTTCGCATCAAGTAAGCATACATGTTCCGTGGGAAAAATGTTTTCATTTAACATCAACTTGATGCGAGTTGTTTTTTATTTCCTACAGACATGTGTAGTATACATGTCGCAAGTGTAACTTTAAAAAGTTATTAAACAATTTCTCGGTAACATTTGCTACTTTTCGTTTTGTTATTGGAGCTGGTGATCTTGAAAGATGTTTACAAATCCTGAACCGAGACAGGCGCATTTAAAAATACAAAAACAATTTAATTTAAAATTTCATTTCTATCTTAATTTATGGCTGTATTTAATAGCATAATATCAAAGGGAAATAAAAATTCGATACAGTTTTATTTGACTATAAATTGCAATAAAATGGATCAATTTACCAAAGTTTGACCCAACTTAATTAACATTTAAGAAATAAAATGCCGTTTTAGAAAAAAAAATTGCAACTTGGAAAGGGGAACTAAGGCTAGTTGGGGTGGGGGGGGGGGGAGTCTGAACTGAAATTTTGTAACGATCTATGACAGGGGTCTCCAAACTTTTCAGTCCGAGGGCCGCATTTACTATCAAATTTCAGTTCGGGGGCCAGTTTCTTCCAGGCATGTCTTTGATTTTTCTGGGCAAAGTTCCTCAGCCATCACCAACAAACGTTTTTTCCGTGGACAAAAAGATCTCCGCGGGCCGGATGAGAGAACATCGCGGGCCGCATCCGGCCCGCGGGCCGAAGTTTGGAGACCCCTGATCTATGACAATGGGAAAGAAGGTACACATTGTCACAAAAAGCATGGCAATATTTATGGACGATCATGGTGCATTCTTCATCTAGAGTCTGCTGTATGAGTTTTAAAAGAATTATTGTGATTATATTAACACGTGCCCGTCCACCCCCTTGCACCCCCTTCCCACATGATTGTGAACTCGTTTAACAACTGGCACGGACAAAGACTGGGATTAATCAGCTTATCGTGCTGTGTTCTGTGAGATTACACACATACAGACGTCTGTAGAAGATTTTATAAAAGTAGTTGAAGAATACAATATTTGTGTACTGTTGTACCGTGTTTACACTTGCGACATGTGTACTATGCAACATGTCTAGGAAAAAATATCGCAAAAAGTTAATGTCATATAAAAGGTACAAAGTATACCCAATGCATGTATAGTATACAAGCCACAAGTGTAACGACGGTGTTATGTTTAAACACAATTAGAATATTTTGTGGTGAAGATTTTTGGGACAACGATGCATCGTCACACATTGTCACAGTAAGCTACCTCCTTTCCCCCATAAAATGGCGTCACATCTAAGCCTAGTACCCTCTCCAAACAGTGTTTCTTACAGGCATCTCTTGGGGGGGGGGGGGGGGGAGAAAATATATCGAAAATATATTTAAAATATATTTACCAGTGTCCGCCCCCTTGAAAATTTAGTCCGCCTCCCCCCCCCCCCCCCCCCAAAAAAAATATCAAGTGCCACCCCCCGGAGAAAAAGGGCTGGAAGAAACACTGCCTCCAAAATTGCAGTTTCTGTTTTTATGTTTTTAAGATAGCGATTTTATTTCTATTCATATTTAAAGAGTTAGGTCAATATTTAGGTTTTAAATTCGAAGTTATCGAAAACTATAAGCGTGATTTCTTTATATACGACCGCTTTTTGTGTGTGCACAAATCATAAAGCCTTATTGTCAGGAGCCTTATTGACTGTGTCACTTTTTGTCGGGCGCCTGATCGATAACAGAAACGCCTTAATTAGCTGGCTTCAGAAAAGTTTTTACGGTATTTTTTTTTAGATTTAACTGTCTTGCATGCAATTATTACAGTACCACGTAATTATCTGACCTCGGCTAAAGTGCTAAAGCTGACTTCAGCAAAATGGTCACAGTTCTAAATAAATCAGCCAATCTCAGCTAAACTGTTATAGCACCACTAACTTAGCTGGCACCAGCTATACGTGTGTACTCCCCGCACTTGTTTCATTAAAAAAAAGTGAGATTTTATCGAGGTCACAAGAGTAGGTCACGAAGATTGATGGTAGACGGTTAGTAATCACACGATGACGTCACGTTTGTTTTTGTTTTGGTTTCTCGAAGTGAGCAGCACACGATATTTGTTCGTGTGTTTATTCATCCATTTATTTAGCCTCTTAATCTCTATGATTCATTAGACATTTGCAGAACTAGCTACGAACTTCTAGACTAACAAAACATAATCTAGCAACAATTAGTGTGTTATTGCGCTACATTATCCTAATAAAAAACAATTGAACATAAAAATACAATTTTTTAAAGTGTAAAATACGTACTGGACAAAGGCTATGGAAGCAAATACAAAAAGAAAAGCAGGCTGAAATTGGAGTCAACGGCCTTTATTGCGATTAACAAGACACGTAATGCTTAATTGTGTTGAAGGGAATCCCCTCCATTACTAAGAGTAGAGTTAAGAACGAAGAAGAAGAAGGGGTCAGATTTTTAGACGATTAGGGTATGAGGCTTTAGATTTTTGTGACCGAGATGGAGATCGGGTATGAAGGTTAAAATGTTTGTGACTAGTGGAAATTCTGAAATTCTCATACCACTGGTATGCGAATCAGTTTTTCTTTTTTCTCCAGGGGGGGGGGGGGGGCACTTGAAATTTTCGGGGGGGGGGGGGCGGTAGACTTTTCGGGGGACTCTGCAAGGCAAGGGACGAGAGGTAGGGGGTGTAAAATTCGACTTAGCAATTATTTATTTTTTGTGTGGTTTAAAAAGATTTCTCTGCACTATGAAAACGAAACGAGATGAATTTTGCATCATTAAAATTAACCCTGATTTCACAACAACATGTGCGTTCACACACTCTACGCAGTGCACAAAAGTTAGGTAACTCTTCTTTTCTCAGTTCCTCCCCCTTTCTCCCATTTCACACCACTCTGGTAATTTGATTTTGAACTCTCTACCCAAGCTGTTTGCAACTGATAAGACCCATGCACCCCTTGCGTGCCTCGCGCTGAGAAAAATCCGCAGCCAGCGAAGTCTCGTTTCAAAATCAGGTGGCTGTGTTGTTGTTTTATGGGTTTTTTTTCTTTTAAAATAAAATGAAAGCAACGCGTTCTAAATAAGTGGAAAACCACGTGGTTCGTTTTATTTTCAGGGGGAAGAAATGGGAGCCGGACGTCTTCCCGAATGGACACTTGCCCAAATGCCGTTTGCTCAAATGCCCGAATGGACACTTGCCCGAATAGCGTTTGCTCAAATGCCCGAATGGACACTTGCTCGAATGCCGTTTGCTCAAATGCCCGAATGGACTCTTGCTCGAATGCCGTTTGCTTAAATGCCCGAATGGACACTTGCCCGAATAGCGTTTGCTCAAATGCCCGAATGGACACTTGCCCGAATGCCGTTTGCTCAAATGCCCGAATGGACACTTGCCCGAATGCCTTTGCTTAAATGCCCGAATGGACACTTGCCCGAATGCCGTTTGCTCAAATGCCCGAACTCTCTCCCCCCCCCCCCATAGCTTTGAAGCAAAATTTGTGAACGCATTATACATGAAAATAAAGCCTGGTAGTTTCCTGGTTAAAAACAAAACACCAGTCAACATTAAAATGAGCGATGAGGACGCAGGGGGGATAATCTCGCGAGGACAGCCGTAATGGCGGTGGTTTGTGACACGACCAGCACAGCACGGTGTGTTGTTTACGAGTCGATATTCTGCTCACAAGCCTGCTGTGTTGGGAGTTATCGTCGCTGCCGCACTGTACTGTTAGGTAATGTATCAAATTTGTTTGACTGTTGAGTTAGTCATATTCCTCCGCCGGGTTAGGAATAGGATTAGGGTTAAGGCCACGGTTTTTTTTAGGGTTAGGGAAATCAAAAGTTTATGTTTAGGTTTACTTTACTGTAGCGATATTTACTGGTTTGTTTTATGTTCGGCGTTTTTTGTTTGTAAACGATTAGATATCGTGAGCTGTTTCTGTTTGTTTATTGATCTAATCATTGCTAGATTTTTACCTTCAATGAGGCCCCGCTTTTTTTGTTGTTGTATGCACAGTCAAGCGCGCTAGCACGCAAACACACGCACAGAGATATTTGTATGGGAGAGGGAGTAGGGGGGTGGGGGGGGGGGGGGGGGGGGGTAGGCCACAAAAACACGTTTAAAATCGAATTGTTAAAGTATGTAGGTCCTACACAATGTCACATCTTTTAGCGTGCAGTCCCCGCTCGATCTGTTCTTAGACCTGATACTGACGATACGCCCCTGATAAAGTGTATGTGTATAGCCAGTATATATGTATACATTTGTTATATAATTGCCTATATATGCATACGGTACTATATATATATATATATATATATATATATATATATATATATATATATATATATATATATATATATATATATATATATATATATAAATATATATATATAGGGCATATATATATAGGGCATATATATATATATATATATATATATATATATATATATATATATATATATATATATATATATATATATATATATTTATATATATATATATATATATATATATATATATATATATATATATATATATATATATATATATATATATATATATATATATGTCTGTATATACTAGCGGTTGTTGTAGCATACTTTTTCAGTTATTCCCCCATGACTTCTTTCAAGTCAGTATTTGTTTTCCCGTTTAAAACATCTGACGGGTATCACGTGGATACACGTAGCAAAGTTCACGTCTGTCAGACTGACGGAGCTACTCACTGTTGCATCAACGCCGTCTGCTATCACCAGCCGTTAGGTTAACTAGGCCAAGGACATCTGTGATCTGTTGACGTTGTGTGAGCAGCTGAGGGTGAAGATTCCACTTGTGTGATGTTTTTGTTTGTTTATTTTTATTATTTTTTTTGCAAGTAAAACACGTAAAACGTAAAGAAGTGGCGTAGATTGGTAGGGGGCGGGTGGAAGGGAGCACTTTTTTTTTTAAATTAGAGATCACGAACTTTTTAGTCCTACTGAACATAGATTGGGTAAAGTGTTGGTGTTTTGTGTGTTATATTGTGGTACATTGGGTAGAGTTTGTGTAGAGCGTAGAGCAATGCTGTGGAGCATCACGTTTTGTTTGTTATTTTAACTTCTTAATTTTTTAAAAACTATTTTGCTTTTTAACTGACGTAACTTAATCCTTTCGGACCTAGCGTTCGAAAGCAGTTGTGATTGTGTAAGCTTAGTATGATTGATGTAATTATGATTATGCAAGCTTAGTATCAACAGAGGCGTAGCGAGGGCAGGGCGAAGGGTGCGTACCGCACAGGTTGACACCATTTAGCGGGGTGACACCAAGGCGAAAAATTGCAAGATATATACATCAAACTGTATTATTAACAGACTATAGACAAACATCCTTACAATTAAGACTGCAGTGATTAAAGCTTATATACATACATGTACGCGTATGTGGCATATAGTGAAATTATAGGCCTATGAACGCCGACACACACATATATTTTTTATTTATATTCACTGGGATATATGTATATATATATATATATATATATATATATATATATATATATATATATATATATATATATATATATATATATATATATATATATATATATATATATATATATATATATATATATATATATATATATATATATATCGACTTTGTTGTTTGGGGGGGTGACACCATAAACTACCGCACCGGGTGACACCCGACCTAGCAACGCCACTGAGTATGAGTGATGCGATAGTACAAGCTTAGTATGATTGATGTGATTGTGATTGTGCAAGTTTAATAGGATAGATGTGATTGTGCAATCTGAACATGATTGTCGTATCTCTAGCCTTCCTCCTTTTCTCCCTGTCACCACTAAGTTCGCGTCTCATGGCCCATGATATTGTCCTATTCAGCCAACAATCAGCTCTAAGTTATCTCCCTGTGTTCAGGATATATTATATTATGGCCGATAACTCCGCTGACTCCAATGTTTATCATCTCGATTTGAAGTGCTAAAATAATTAGACAAGACAGAAAAACGCAGTTATCCTACAATAAATCGATTTTTTTACAATGTCATATTCTTTTTTGGTTATATTTTGTAACGATAGGGAAGTGATTATAGTAAAGAGATTTCAAAGCTTCGCTAGGGCGGTTCAAAGTTGAAGGTTCAACTGGGGCAACTAGAGAGGAAGGTGGCGTTTGTCATGTTTATGTTTGAACACTTTCTTTTTTTGACATCAACAAACTAGGCGTATGTTTGTGGTCGGGCATAGAAAAAACTCAAAGGTTAATAACCCGGATATTCTGAGCCAATATATTCACCAATTAGTTTCCAGGATTTTCGCTTGAATAGTTCGGAGCTGTCTGAGCCTACTCAGCTACAAAAAGTACCCGAAAACAGTTGGAAAAAAATAACACGACGCTGTGTTAAATTTCCTAGCGTAATCTCCTTTATTTATTTGAAAGTTGTATTAAAATATGAGATTGGTTTTGTTTCGAAGTATCTATATGTCTTCACGCCATATGTTGTCAAATTTTATTTCAGAATCTCAGTATGTCCAGGTCCTCACGTCACTTCCTGTTGTCACCTTTCCAAAATGAGAAGCTGGAGTACTACTTCCGGTTTTTAGGTACGTTTTGTAGTAGTTATTTAAAGAATTGTATTTTCCCGAATCCGGATTATAATTTTTTTAATTCGTTTTAAAGATATAGATATTTTTCATGTAATTAAAAAAAAATCTTTTGGAAATATAAGGGTACATTAAAAACGCCAATAGGGCACCACAAAACTATTTTGCTTGTATGGCTACCATAACTCTGGCCCTAACCTACATAGTACATACGATATTCTATAGCAGAGGCGTAGCGACGGGGGGTACATATGTCCCCGGGCGCCGACCATAGGGGCGCCAAAAATAAGCTCAATTTAGATGCTATTTTGAATTATAAACACAAAAAATATATGGAGGGTGGGGGCTTCAAATTAAAAGTTTGTCCCCGGGCGCCGGAAGGGGTCGCTACGCTTCTATTGTATTGCCTAACATGTTTTTGTTTAATTAAAGACACTAGTATTGCTAACGAACATGCATTTCCTAACCCAATTAGGGTCAATGCAGATAACTGACGCTGGTCTGTTTTAATTGTAAACATTTGAATCATTCTGCGGTAATTGCTGCCCTTAGAGAACTCTATTCTTCCCTCCCCTACCTTAGGCATGCTTTAGCCATTTACCAAATCTTTACCCATACTCAGCTAAAAATGTATTAGCGCCTCGATATAGTTCCAAACGTAATAATGTTTTATTTCTTCTGTAACTTTAGACATTTCCAAACGTAACAATGTTTTATTTTTGTGTAACTTATGAAAGTTCCAAACGTAATAATTGTTATAGTTCTGTAAGTTTTGAAAGTTCCAAACGTAATAACTTTTATTGTTCTGTACCTTTTGAAAGTTCCAAGCGTAATAACTTTTATTGTTCTGTACCTTTTGAAAGTTCCAAGCGTAATAACTTTTATTGTTCTGTACCTTTTGAAAGTTCCAAACGTAATAACTTTTATTGTTCTGTACCTTTTGAAAGTTCCAAGCGTAATAACTTTTATTGTTCTGTACCTTTTGAAAGTTCCAAGCGTAATAACTTTTATTGTTTTGTACCTTTTGAAAGTTCCAAGCGTAATAATTTTTATTGTTCTGTACCTTTTGAAAGTTCCAAGCGTAATAACTTTTATTGTTTTGTACCTTTTGAAAGTTCCAAGCGTAATAATTTTTATTGTTCTGTACCTTTTGAAAGTTCCAAACGTAATATTTTATTGTTCTGTAACTTAAGACAGTTCCAAACTTAATAATTTTATTGCTCTGTAACTTTTGACAGTTCCAAACGTAATAATTCTGTACTACTTTCAGCTCCAGACGAAGATGGCAACTTGGAAAAGAACAGCATCGCCAGGCTGATGGATGTAGGGAACTATTTTTAGCTCAGGGTAGTGGCACAGTGATAAAAATAATGTAGTTTCGTGTTGAGATAGACTCAGTATAAAGCTTTGGTGGGTCAGGAATGTATGTCTAGGTCCACAATTATTTTTGGTAACTTAGCATTACACAACTATTGAAAAACTTCAGTGTGTAATAAATGTTTGGTAAACTTCTATGTTTTGTTTATGTGTACAACAAATTAGGGTAAATTCCCATGTGTACTAAATGTATGTGTAAAACAAAGTTTGGTAAACTTCTAGGTGTAGGTAATTTGTGTACATCTAATTTTGGTAAACTTCTATATGTTAGGAGTTTGTGTCCAACAAATTTTGGTAAACTTCCATGTGTACTAAACTTAAGTGTGCAACAAATTTTGATAAACTTTTAGGTGTAGGTAATTTGTGTACACCTACTTTTGTTAAACTTCTATATGTTAGGATTTTATGTATATGTTACGGTCAAAGCCCGAAGTCGGCCAATGCTAGGATTGGCCGGCCAATCCGCGCATTGGCCAATATCGCCTCCCATAGGTCGGTCAAAGTCCGAAACTTTGCTTGATTTCGGCCTGTGGCCGGCCAATCCGCAGACTGGCCATTGTGGACCGGCCAAAGTCTGAAATAGTTCTTCATTTCGGCCTTTGGCCGGCCAGTCCGCGGACTGGCCATGGTGGACCGGCCAAAGTCTTAATTAGAAGATCATCTGGCTAGGGACGACCGACCAAATTCTGAATTAGAAAATCATGAGCAGATTTTGGGGTTTTTAATGCCGTAAGGATCATGAAATTAAGTCTTTATTGATTATTAATTAAAGTAAATGACAGAAACATTCAAATTTTTTATTGTACTATAGTCTCAATCAATCAATATTATCATTTGTTACAACAAGTTGAACTTTTATGGCATTTAGAATTACATAGCAGCTTGTTATTTTTACACTTGCAGCGATTTGTTGTGCACTTGGTTGTGCAATTGCAGCGAGTGTAGCCTTGGCCCCAGTCAATGATTGTGAAGATGCGATGGTTCGTAGTGATTTTTCCTCAGTGCCAACTGACGACAATTAGAGCAGTTTTTCGTGAAGAATTGAAAACTCACTTCTAGCATACAGTTGTTTTAGAACACCATGTTCCTTTCCTAATTTGTAGAAACCGCCCTCGACGCTCATGACAACTGCAATCACGCTTCGGGGATCACCGCGACCTCTGTCAACATCTGGAACACGGATGCGTACATTGTCACCCACTTCACCATCTTTAAATTTTGTATTTGATGTTTTAAGCATCATAGCACCTTGATTTTGCAAGCCAGTATGAGCTGCTGACCTGTGTTCCATGATGTCTTGTTTGTTGTGACACAATCTGCAGGTAATGTTCCCTCCGTACCCTTCGTCTGCTTCATTGGGTACTCCACAAATAGCATGGACATCTTTGCCACAGGATCCACAAGAATGAGCTGCACTACAATGTTTTTCACAAACTATACAGAATCTGTTGGCCACATTATTGTCACGCAACTGGTCTGGACGTTCCGCCACGGCAGCAGATGTGTTAGCTGAGGATGTAGTTGCATTTATGGCAACCTCCATTTCTTGTTCAATGTTCTCAAGATCTTCCTCAGTAACTATTTTATTGAGAGCCTCTCTTGGTAGATTTGAAGAGCTAAGTCCCACTTTTGCTTTGCATCCAAACAAGGCTTTGTATGGTGATTGTTGGATTCCTTGATAAAAATAGCGATTTTTCATAAATTGAATGAATTTGAGACTCTCAGCCCAATGAGCTGATTCATTTGTTTGCATCCATGTCATCATCATGTTTTGAACATCTTGGTTGGCACGTTTTACTGAACCTTGGCTTTGGGTATGCCTTGGTTTTCCGTGAACTAGTTTAAATTCAGGCCACATGTTCTTTAGTTTAGAAATAACTTGATTCACAAACAAGTGCTAAACAATACGTTACTCACAATGAAACCGCACCCTGAATAATGAAAACGCGATCACAACTTAGTATAGATAGAACATTGGCCAGGACGTCCCGGCCAATGCGCGCATTGGCCGGCCAATGTACAAAATACGCTGTCAAGTTTAAGCACTTCGGGCTTTGGCCAGTACGTCCCGGCCAGTGCGCGCATTGGCCGGCCAATGTACGAAATACGATCTAAGTTCTAAGTTCTTCGGGCTTTGGCCAAGAGAGCCGGCCAATCCGCGCATTGGCCGGCCAATCCTGGGTTTGGCCGCACTTCGGGCTTTGACCGTAACATATACAACTAATTGTGTTAAACTTCCATGTGTACTAAACGTATATGTACAACAAATTTGGTTAAACTTCCATGTGTACTAAACGTATGAGTACAACACATCTTGGTAAACTTGCAGAGAATTCTTGACTTCACTGGCTGGGATGAGCAGAGCCCCATGGCCCACGAATGTCGAGAGGTTCACGAGGCGTTCTTTGAGCTGCTCTTTGAGAAGGCGCGGGAGACTGAAGGATCCGGTGAGGAATTTCAGGCGGAAAAGCTGGACTGTTTTCTTGTATATGATCAATATATATCTTAGTTTTTTTTAATCTTGGGACCTCCACAAAAGGTTTTTTTTTAAGATGACCGCCATTTCCGTGGCAACCATACTTTCAAAAGAGTTCCTGATGCATGCAGATATTTTCTTTCAAGTACCCTAACATAGATACACATAAATAAATAAATAAATAAGGCTTATTGATTAAGAAGTTCCTTTCCGCCCCCTTCCCCCTTAAGATAATGTATAACCAGTGTTTCTTACGGGCATTTCTGCAGGTTTAACGGATAGATCGGGGGGGGGGGGGGGGGTCGCACTACCCATCGCCTTTCCCCACCGGACGAAATAGTAAAAATGCACACTTTAAATGAAAAAGCAATGTCCGTCCAAGTATCGTGTCCCCCCACCCTTTCCCCCCCCCCCCCCCACATCCACATCCACCTCCACACCTCACCCCCACCCTGAGAGATGTCTGAAAGAAACACTACTTAGCAATGTTAAAAGACCCTCTGTGACCAAATGTATCTCGCACACAGCTGTCGGCAAAGTGACGCTGGAGAACTGGCTGTCCATGTGGTCAGGTATTCTGCCGGGAGTGATGTCAATGCACAACTTGCCAGTGTGGCTCAGACTGATGCCTCAGCTTCTGTTCAAGATAGTCGATAGGAGACGTATGTGTTTTTCTTCTACAATGTATTCAATCGGTAGTCTTTTATGCTTATCATCTACTTCTTCTGCGTTTTTAATTTTAGTGTTGGAAGAGATTCCCTCCAACACAATTAAGTGTTAGTTTCAACTTGTTATGCGCCATAGGCTCCTATTTCAGCCTGCTTTTCTTTTTGGATTTGCTTCCCTAGCCTTTGTCCAACCAAGGCAGCAGTTGTTTGATTTTGGAGTTGTCTCCCCTACAAGAGTTGCTCTCCCCCAGCTAACGAGCCTCGTTCGCCCGAGAGTTCGGACTCGGGTCTTTTCGGCTTAGCAACCATGAGCTTTACCGACCCATTTTCCTCGCCATATTATCATGTTCTCTTCTCAGGGTGTGCCCAACCCACCCCGTTTACGAGCTTTCTATACATACATTCCTTAGCTCGGTGTTTGCCATTTTTAGGAATTATATAAAAGTCCTCCAACATTAAACACTCTCTCTAACATCTGTGGCCTACTAAACAAACGGCTCATAGATCAATTTATTTTCCAGACCCTTAAAGCAGTGTTAAATTCTTGTTCCAGGTCAAAATTATTTAACAGCGAACGACCTTGAGATTTTCTATAAGGAAATGGTTCACCTTGACCCTGATCAAGCGCACGAGACGGCATTGGAAGCTTACGATCACATGACAGACGTAGGTCAAAGTTTAATCGAATTACTTTTTACTTTCTCGTATATACGTAGTATAGAGAAAGTATTGTAATCGTGCAAAAAAAAAAAAACGAGATTTTTACAAATCTCGACGTTTTACACCTCACTGATACGGAAAAACATAATTTTGCAATCTTGTCCGTATGTCTGTGTGTGTGTGTGTCTGTGTGTCTGTGTGTGTGTCCGTGTGTAAACACGATAACTTGAGTACCGTTACTGCTAGGTTGATGAAATTTCATATATAAGTATTTTATCAAAATCGTAGATCCGTATCAACTTTTGAGCGATTTCCGATAACCGGAAGTGGTACTTTTTCTACTTTGAATTTTTCAAAAGCCTATAACTTGAGTACTATTTCAGATAGATAAATGAAATTTCACATGTAAGTAAAAGATCTAATTCTCTACCTTCTGTTAAATTTTGAGTAATTTCCGTTGACCGGAAGTAGTAATTTACGCTACTTCCGATTTCTCAAAAAACTAATGTAAATTTTAAAAGTACTAATAATATTGCGCACTATTATGCGCTTTTTTATTTCGCGTTCACTTGCTGTGCAATTAATTTGTCTACGAGATTTTATTCTATTTTTAAAACTTTAAGTATTTAAAATGGATTAAAAATCATGTCTATAGCCCGAGTTCCCATCCCCTGTTATTTTATATAAAAATATTCGAGAAAGTTTAGGGGAGATCACTCCCGGTTTATTAAAGTTAAGTAATTAAGTAATGGGTGAATGGAATGAAGAAAACGAATTCGGGCTCTCTATGATAAATAAAATAAAGTTCAAATATCAACACTATTAGAGATATATTTCTAGTTCTATGCCAACGAGACAAAGACGTAGAAATAGTTATTGTAAAGATAGAACAGCAGACTTTACAGCTAGATAAATACGTGGCCTCAACTCTCCTTCAGTAGAACACTGGTCTTACCTCTAGTGAGGAGCGTAATCCATCTGACCAGTGTTCGCGCTGTATGGTTACGTACTAACATAGCTTGTCCATGATGCCTTATGATGGGCCTTATCTGATTGCAACAAACACCTTTGTGGATGTTTTATACAGGGAGAGTTTCATTTTTTAAAACTGCTTGTCTCCCCAAAATCACCTGCTAGTAAAGTACCCTTTGAAAACTGGCTGTCCTTGTTACAGCTGAAGTAGAGTTCACATGTTTTAGTTTTTTTTTTAAAAGTAAAGTTCTCTTTTTCGGTCCGTGTTTCTGTGACCTCGGCATATGAAGAGATAATGTGATCAACGCTATCCTCAGCCACCTTTAATTTCCCTAACGTGAGTTAAGTACCCATCAGGGCTGAGTGGACTCATGGAATTTCTACTGACTTGAACCCTGGTTTTAAACTTGAGATATTCGGGTTAGCAGTCGTATAAAAATCACTTGTAATATCGCTAAACTTTTAAGAATCCGTATAAATATCTCCGTTTCGAATCTACTCATCTTACAACTCCCTAAATTTCCCCAAAATCTTCCCAAATCTTCCTAAATTTCCCAAAATTTACCCAAAATCTCCCCGAATCTCTCTAAACCTCCCCTCCTTAACTCCGCAGAACGGCAGGTACCCTCTGGACCTTAACAGCTACGAACAACTTTTCGCCAATTTCCTCATCGGGAGGACGCCCTACGGACCTGGGCGTTATATTTTTGGCTGCTTCGAGCACGACGTAAGTACACCAGTCGGGTAGTCAAGAGGGGCGTCGGGAGAGGTAGTACCCCCCCCCCCCCCCGGCCCTCAAAATGAGAGTTGTCGGTGCATTCGCGTCGCAATTAATACTTAAAATTTCTAAATTTCCATTGACCTCATTCATTCCATTTAACTGATGTAAGAACAATACGCCCTTAGTTTTTATATATGTTTTTGATCCCCCAAAGACAATCCTGATTTAACAATGTGCCTGTTTACATCACTTATTTCCCTTAGGTTCAACCATTCCAGCTTATCGCCCCTGCCCCGGAACCTGACGATAACGTGATTGAGGTGAAAAAGGTCACGGCCGGCAGACGACCGTCAAGACAACTCAGTCTCGGCCATTCTTAAGATTTGTCTGCAATTTAAAAAAAATTAAAACATCCTGTTAATGCAGTTATCTTTTTTTTTTTAAATATTCCAATAAAATATGAAAATGTCTTAAAGATGAAAAGTTTCCTTGGTCCGCTACAGGTTTTTATCCAGGCATATATGGGGAGGGTGGAGGGGGGGAGCACTTAAGTTATAGCCTACATTTAAATATAAATAAATATATATATATATATATATATATATATATATATATATATATATATATATATATATATATATATATATATATATATATATATATACTTTAATCATTCCCCCTCCCTGGAATTTAAGGTACTCCCCTTTACCTATGGTAATTATCTGAAAGAAATCCTGGTCTCCCCCCCCCCCCCCCCCCCCTCAATCACCAGCTATAACCTTGAAGGATGGAACTCAATAGAATCGCAATTCATATTTTGAACGGGGACTGACCTAAGAAAATAACTAAAACAGCAAATGTTGAAGAAAAAAAATTAAAGAATTCTATAATTTAATTAAGTTTTAAAATACTAACACTGTGTTATGTTTGGATTGTGTAGAGGCTGGGTTTCTTTCAGACCCCCCCCCCACCCACCCCCACTTTATGCCTGAAATAAACTGTGTAGATGAAGGCTAATGGTCCGCTTTTAAAAACTCAATTTGTTTTGTTTTCATTTTAAAAGTTTTAACGTGTAAGCTCATTTTAAACTGCTGACACTGTGCTTTAATGTTCAGAACCATTTTGTTCAAGTTGATATTATTTTTTAATCAATTGATGTAATGTTATTTTTTTTCCACTCCTGGTGTTTCTATTTGTAAAAAAAAATGGCACCAAGAAGATATACAAAAATTTTGTGCTAATAATTTTTTTAAACCCTTGCTATAACACCAGTGATTTTACAGTCTATATTTTCTTATACTTTTACAAACGCATGCATTTTCTTAATTACAAGACCTACTAACCAATGGACATGCAAGTATTTCGAAACAAACCCTCTACAAACTCTCACCACTAGTGACCACTGACCAGTCCCCACTATTTGTAAATACTTTCCCAAACCATTTCTTGTAGTTTGTTACTAAACACATGCTGAAATATTACTAAACTTGCTCTTCCTTTTAAACTTTGCAGCTTAAAATCAGAGGCGTAGCGACCCTTCACGGCGACCGGAAACAAACTTTCAATTTGGCGCCCCCCCCCCCCCCCCCCTCCCGGAACAAACTTTCAGTTTGGCGCCCACCCCCATATATTTTTATATTTATAATGCAAAACTGCAGCTAAAATGAGCTTTTGATTTTTTTAAAACACATTTTGGCGCCCGGGGACATATGCACACCCCACCCTCCTCCTCCCTACTTCGCTACGCCTCTGCTTTAAATACGTATTTAATAGCTTAACTGCATCTTTAACTGCATATTAATACATTTATTACTTACATTATGTCACGTACCATTGTGTATTTTTGACATAGTTACTTTATGTGGGAGCAGGACATTACCCCCCCCCCCCCCTCATCCCCATCATTTACCTCCTCCCCCCGGTCATTCCCCCTCTATTATCCTCCTGATCAATTAACCCCCTGTACATTACCCTTGGACAATAAAACGTGAGTAGGACATTACCCCCCTTTCCCCCACTCTTCCCCGGGTCGATTGCTAATTACTCCCTACCTAATAAAGATAGGGTTATGGATATGGTAAAGATTAAGGTTACGGGTAGGGATAACGATATGATTAAGGTTAGGTTAAGATTTATAGTAGGTTTAGGTTAGTTTATGAAAATTTGGAAAGTGATAATTTTAAGTAAAGGGGGGGGGGGGTACTCTTTGGAAGACCGAAGATGCCCTAGTAGACCCATATTATAAAGGAATGCTGAAGATATATATACATACATACATATATATATATATATATATATATATATATATGTATATGTATATATATCAGATATATTCGTGGCTTGTTCCCAGATCTCTAATCCCTTTAACGATTGTGTCATACTTCAATTATTACAATTCATGTCTTACTATAAGCAAATATATCCAAATAAAAACGACTAATTACTTTAACAAAACGAGTTTGCTTTTTTTTTTTCCTTTTACATTTTGAAAGTACAGAAGAGAAAGGTCAGCGTGACACAGGGGTCTGTATAGAACCAAGATGAGAAATGGTGTTTTGAAAACAAAATCTGTGTCCACACATGATTTACGTGTCTAGAAAACAACGTTTGTATTTAAGTAGAGACTCTCAAAGTTCCCCCAACCTTTGGTTTGATTCTGTTTTCCATCATTTAACAAACAGCCAGGTAAATAGCTGAAATGTTAAGAGAATACGTATTCAACCAGGGCGGAGCTTAGATCTGGGCAAACAAGTTGGAACTACAGTACTTTTTTTTTGGGGGGGGGGGGGGGAGGGGGGGCGCGATTAGGATGTTCAATATTAGCCTTTAAATACAATTTTTAAAAATAAATTTGAATGTCTTCTCTACATTGCAGTCTTTTTTTGTCTTAGAAAAAAAAGGAAATCAAGTCACTATCATCAAGGGATCGTATAAAAAATTTATTAAGATCATTTCCCAAAGTATATAAGAAAACAATCAGACTTTATCCACTATAATAAAATAATAAACTAACGCGAGTTGCATCTTATGTGCATGATAGTAAGCTCCAGGACCAATTTAGTTGTATAAATTATGGGAGACAATCAATGTTCCCTCTAAGGAAATGAAGCTAGTGTGCAACGTGTATTTTGTGTGCGTGGTGTTCTAAAAGTCTTATACAAGGATATATGTATTTTACAAAATGACTGCGCGGCAGCTTAAAACTACTTCGCGGCCGCGCAACCGTGCAGCTTAGAGGGAACATTGGAGACAATGGGTTTTTAAAAATGATATACACGCTAATGTTTATGAAGTTTAAGGTTGGGTTAAAGAAGACATATTTCCTAACACCAGAGGCGTAGCGAGGGGGGGGGGAAGGGAGGGGGGTTCGGACCGCACCGGGTGACACCATTTAGGGGGGTGACACCAAGGCAAAAAATAGCTAAATATTTAGAGAAAAACTTGAGGGGGGGGGGTGTGAAAATCGAAAGTTCGAGGGGCGGGGGTCAAATCGAAAATTTGAGGGGGGGGGGGGGGTGCAAATCGAAAACTTAAAAGTTTGTCCCCGGGAAGAGTCGCTACGCCTCTGGGGGTGACACCATTAAGTGCCGCACCGGGTGACACCCGACCTCGCTACGCCACTGCCTAACACTAGTAATTTTGTGTGTGTGGGGGGGGGGGGGTTCCCCATACAGGGCTACTATGCTATACAGATACGAGCCGAGCAATAATATTAATCACAATGAAACCTCATCCTGAATAATTTTAAATGCTATCACACCGTAACTAACATAGGAAATTGGCCAGAGCATCCCGCCAAGATGGCCGAAATACGATGTCAATTTTAAAATACTTCGGACATTGGCCAGGACATCACAGCTAGTGTACGCATCGGCGTCCAATGTAAGAAATACGATGTCAATTTTAAAATACTTCGGACATTGGCCAAGAGAGCCAGCCTATGCGAGCATTGGTCGCACTTATATATAGATTAGGCCTAAATTTTGTATTCAACATTTTATCATTAACCTAAATAAGGGGATACACAATATTTAGCGCATTTAATAACTATTAAAGTCCATTTTTATAAGTCATTAGGGGGTCATCCTTAACATAACGTCACGCTTTTTTTTGACGATTTTTACCTCCCCCCCCCCCCCCGTCACACGTCGTCACAGACCCACCCCCTTAAAAATCTTGTCTGATCTCTGTCAAAATAGAGTATTTTAATCAATTGTTATTACAATTTATTAAAACAGTTTTCTAAAACGCAAAACAACGTCTAAAATTCGTTTTCTAACATTGCTTTTACTTTCTCGTATATACGAAGTATAGAGAAAGTATTGTAATCGTGCACAAAAATAACATGGAATTTTGACAGTTTTCACAGTTTTACTCCTCAGTCCTTCATCACATCCGGAGTATAGAGGACTTATTTTAATCAGGCAAAAATTATAAATACTAATTTATAAACATTTTGGCGTTTTATGCGTTATCGAGTCGTAAAAAATGGACTTTGCAATTTTGTCCATTGTCTGTGTGTGTGTGTGTGTGTTTGTCTGTGTGTAAACACGATAACTTGAGTACCGTTACAGCTAGGTTGATGAAATTTCATATATAAGTATTTTATCAAAATCGTAGATCCTGATCAACTTTTGAGCGATTTCCGATAACCGGAAGTGGTACTTTTTCTACTTTGAATTTTTCAAAAGCCTATAACTTGAGTACTATTTCAGATAAATTAATGAAATTTCACATGTAAGTAAAAGATCTAATTCTCTACCTTCTGTCAAATTTTGAGTAATTTCCGTTGATTGACAGTACTAATTTACGCTATTTCCAATTTCTCAAAAAACGAATGTAAATTTATAAAGTGCTAATAATATTCCGCACTATTAAATACTATTATGCACGTTTTATTTGGCTTTCACAGGTGTGCAATTCTTTTTTCTACGAGATTTTATTCTATTTTAAAAAGTTTAAGTATTTAAAATGGATTAAAATTCATGTCCCGAGTTCCCATCCCCTGTTTTTTTTATAAAAGAATATTCGAGAAAGTTTAGGGGAGATTGCTCCCGGTTTATTTTTATAATGCAAAAGTGTGACGTCGCACCATCTGAACCCCCCCCCCCCCTCCCCTCATCACACACCGTCACAAAATTACGGACCCCCTCCCCCTACGAGTGTGACGTCATTTTTGGACGACCCCTTAACTAATACCCTATATATATATTGTGTTTATTTAATATTTACATATAATTAATTTAATTAAGCAATCAATTTGTACATAGAAGTAGTTTTAAGCTTTAAAAATGTTGAATTTCAATAATTTAATTCTTATAGTCTAGATTGTTCTTGGAAAAAGGCTATGGAAGCCCATTCATAAATATTAGCAGATGTTGTCGGATCCTACGGTTCAAAGGGTTGAAAGGGCGCATAATAATTTAGATGATGAATAGTTTTATTATAATGTAATTAATAACTTTTATGCTATTCAATGCGAACTTTGTACTGACACGGCTGGTTGCAGCTGCAAAATTAACGATTAATATTAGCGTATTGTTTAGATTTAGATCAAGAGTAGAAATAGAAATCAGAATGCGATTACGGTTTTACATGATATGGAATTTAGTTTTTATTTTGTTTTTGCTGATAGCGGTGGTGTATTTTTTCTATTCGTTAAAGAAGAGGTGAGAATGAGCTGGCGGATTGTCTTTTTGTCAACGGAAGTTGTCTGCTAATCTATTAATAGATTAAGCGTCGTGCAGCCATAGTGATGATCAGATCTCAGTGTAGATTTCTAGTAGACTCTAGATTTGCCTACCTTTCTCTCAGATACTAGTGTCTGTCTTATTGAATACTGAATAATCAATGCTAATCGTAAAATTGCTTTAAAAAATGTACTGGATGTAATTTAAAAGGTTCTATTTAAAACAAAAATTAATGAATAAAACAAAACCGATAAATTTAAATAATTTAAATCAGACCCCACTAACAAAAAATATTTAAAATATTTGCACTATCTTAGATTAGAATTTTAGAATATTCTTAGGAATCTTAGATCTACTTAATTTACTAATTTACTTACTAAGTCAAGCCTAAAAAAGATGAATTTCAATCTTGAATCTAGGAATGGACGAATGGTTACTGGCTAGGCCCAACCAAAACAAAAATGAAATTAGAATTAGATCTAGATCAAGTAGATAATCTAGAACTAGTCTAGAATCTAGTCTAGTTTCTAACTTTCTTCTACTTCTCCACAGGTAATTCAAGTAATTGAAGTTTGAGTGACAGAATAGTGAATATGGCACATGGCTTTTTAAAAAAAGAACCTTTGGTTCATCTAATTTAAACCAAATGTTTTACAGAGGAAATTAATGACAACAGGTCCTGAATGAGCTATGGGTGAAGACTCCAACTCTTGGCTGACAGATCGAGATAAATTAACAAGACTTTTAAAATTTTTGGAGAGTGATGCTACTATAGGACCTGGTTATGAAGGCAAAGTTAGTTAAGTTTGTTGTGATGTCTTCAAGTTAAACCCTAATTTTAAAGTTAATTTTCTTTGTTGTGTAATAGATTTATATTTACAGTTAATTATCTGCTATATTATGTTAATATATGTATGTTCCTATAATAGATATTTATCAATGCCTTTTTACTTTATTTTATTTTATAGAGGCAGTCAAGTTTTCCTACACATGGACGGGTATGTTGCTAGTAATTTCTTTCAAATTAACTATATGGTGGATAAAGTCCATTGCGTTCATAAGATCCTCTAAGACATAATTGTTTGATGTAAGAGATCTAGAATCTAGTGGTTAGATTTTTAAACTAAGAAAACATTTTCTTTGCCATCATTTACGGTTTTTTGTAAAAAAATTTCAATGACTACTTGGAATTTAATTTTTTTTATAAAATATATACTTTTTTCAGTCATAGTTATTATTTATTAATAATCACAATTTTTATTTTAAGGTTTCTTATTTCTTCATATTTTTCATAGAGAAGCCTTGCTAATTCTTTGGATTTGACTGCAAACACTGAACAAAATGCGACCTTTACCCTTTCACCACCTCTGATCACCCAGCATGTTCCAACTTTTTATGTTGACAATTGGTCCACTATAAAAAGAGGCTAGTTTCAAATTGTTTTTAACCTTCTGAAGATTTGTTTTAAATTCTTGAAAATGAAGGTTGTTTTAACTATGTGGTTAAGTATAACAGTTTTTAATCTAACATGGTTTGTCACATGTATTTATTTATTTATTTATTTTTTATGCTAATAACTTTTATTTCTCTTATTTTCTATTTTGAAATCTATTAACTAGTAACATCTTTGAGTTGTATTTTACTAAAATCTGTTAATCTTTTCTAGGAGACACAATACTTTTTCCAAATAGTCCAAGAAAATATGGTCCAGCATTAGGAGGTAGTCCCATAACACTTGAAACAGCAATAGTGAGTAATTTATTTTACAATTGAATACAAGATTTATAGATTTTTAATGATGCTTTTTTAATGATTATCTTTGGTTACATATTTAACAAGCATTATAAAATTGTGATCAAAAGTTTTCACACCTGTTGTCATATATTTATTTTTGGTGTTTATATTTTGTAAAGCGCTTATTAATTCAACTTAATTTAGTATAATAAATTTTATTTAGATTTTTAATAAATTCACTAACAACTTAAAAATTTCTACTCCAGGAATTGAGAAAAGTTGTTCATGGATCTGCCGTCCACTCACTCTCTAAAGAATGGCTGAAAGCAACACTGGAGTTCTATTTTTTAGAAAGTGCATTCCCTTTTGGCATTCAAACTGCTAAGGTTGTTACATTCAACTTCAATAATTCATTAGGTTAGAGAACTAACACTTCTAATAAATAGTTTGTTCCATTTTGGTATAAGTAGCTTAGTGCTGTTTCAGTAAAACTATTTTCAGTTTAATATTTATATTTTCATTGAAATTATAAACCAGACTTCATCAGAAGAGATTTGTTATAGTTTCTGTTATCTTTAAAATTATAACTTCTTTCATTATATTTTATTAATATTAATATTATCTATCAGTACAAATGTAGATATGTTTGAACATATTTTAAGTACATTATTCAGTTAACTGTATTTTACACATGTATTAAAACTATGAAATTATAATAAAATCTCATGTAACTAGCTTTGAGTAAAATACACACTTGACCATAATATTACTTTCCGCAGTGTGGAGCGAGGGGACTAGCTCTGTGTGTTCAAGGTTTTATGTTAAAACATTTAATATTTGACAGAGAGTACAAATCTTCTGTTTTATTTGACGTTGGGTAAGTAATAGACCAAACTTGTTCATTAATTTGTTCATCAACACACTACATCATTAAATCTTGGGTAACAATAATCTTGGGTAAGCAATAGAATAAAGTTTAGTCATTTGTTCACTAACAATGTATTAGCTTTAAATTTTGGGTAAGCAATATAATAAACTTTAGTAATTTTTCATTAACAAAATGTAATCTTTAAATCCCGGGTAAGCAATACAATAAATAAACTTTAGTAATCAGTTCACCAACTATGTACATCTTTAAATGTTGGTTACGCAATAAAAAAATTAATTTTGTTAATTAGTTTAATTAACATTTTGCACTGCATATACATTGTCATTTAAAAAAAGTTTATAATAGAAAGACACAAATGAGTTGAAGATGGTTGACTGTTTGATTTTTACAATTCTACTGATTATATCTTATGACTTGCATATGTAGTGATGATGTAGGGGTAATATAGTGATTTATACATTTTCAGTGCACTAAGTGATGATGTAGGGGAGGTGTAGTGTTTTATACATTTTAAATGCACTAAGTTAGTGATGATGTAGGGGAGGTGTAGTGTTTTATACATTTTCAGTGCACTAAGTTAGTGATGATGTAAGGGAAATGAAGCGTTTTATACATTTTCAGTATTTTAAATTAGTGATGATGGAGGGGTAATTCATACATTTTCAGTATGTTAGTGATTATTTATGGGTGATGTAGTGATTCATACATTTTCAGTGCACTAAGTTAGTGATGATGTAGGGGAGGTGTAGTGTTTTATACACTTTCAGTGCATTAAAATAGTAGGGGTGATTTATAAATTTTCAGTGTGTTAAATTAGTGATGATTAACTGGTGATGTAATGATTGCTACATTTTCAGTGCGTTAAAGCCTAATGCCTTTGAAAGAAGACGAGCTCTTATTGGTGCTATCTGTGAGATCCTGTGGCAGGCTGGGGACAAGAGAAGATGCTGTGTTTGCTTGAAGCAGGAGGAGGTTTGCTTTGGGCCAGATTACAGATACAGGCCTGATTCAGTCACAGAGAAGGTATCACTAGTCGATGTTACTATTTAATATTACACATGCATTTTGAAACTTGTAACTATTAACTGCAGTACCATCTGTTTATTTACAAACCATATAGTAGTTATAATAAAACTCAAAGTAATCTATTTATTCAAAGTATATTGGACTTTTTAAATTTTATAATTTAGATATATTTACCAGAAATATCAAAATTAAAAATGCTTTTTAAGATTTCTTAAGCTATGATAAAAAATTTGTGATCTGATGAATATTTTGAAGTTTTTCATGAAATGCTTTTTTTTTTTTGTAGAAATACTATTTGTTCAAACTTTAAAGAATGAATTATTCTAATCAAAATCTATAAAGTTAAAACAGTGTGTATTTGCAAGGCAGTTTTTCCAATTATATGGCTCTTTACTGTCATAAATATGAAGATATAGTGTCACATTTAAAAAAATTTATCATGATGCTAAAAATGTTGTTATTAAAAAAGAATATCTTAAATTTATCTCAAATCACTTTCTGTACTTTCTAAATATAATGCACACTAAATTCTCAGTATTAGCTTTCTCTCAAATATTTTGTTTACTTTGTACTTTATCACTTACATTTTAAATTTATTTTTTTATAAGGTCTATGCTGTTTTTTTTTCTTTATTAAGTCACATGCACATTTGTATCACTAGCTTCAGCTTAATGAGTTCAAGAAGTTTGAAGATTTACAGAATTTTATTAAAAGAAATCTGGACCAGGTAACACATAGCACTTGATGACAATTTTTTTATTTTGTTCCTTTGCTACTTCAAAAAATGAATTGTTTTTCATTTACTGATTCATTTTAAATGTTTGCCCATTGTTTCTGAATTGTCTCTTCATTTATTTTACTGATCTAAACTTTAGTTACTTTTGACATTTGGTTAAGACGAATTGACAAGTAATTAAGACATTTTACATATGATTTTGAACTGTTCAAAAAAAATTTCTTGATATGAAATATAAAAAATAATTATTTTCTCTATTTATATAAGTGCACACAACTCTAGTAACACTAATATATAAAATGCATTACTTCCCTTTTGTTCACATTTGGTTCACAAGCCGTTTCAGCTATTTCACTTCACTATTGTAACCAAAAGTGTATTTTAGAATTTAGTGAAAAAACTCTACTTAGCTGACTATTATACTCCCTTTTAATTTTTTTTTTCAGTTTCAAATAGCTCATGGCAATGGCTGCCTTCTTTTTCTGTACAGTTTAGTTCTATCCAGAACTATCCAAAGGTCAGTCTGTTTGTGATTAAGAAAGATTTTATTGTGTTTAAGATATATGATCTGTTGTGAAGAAAAAGTATTTATTGTGAAGAAAAAGTATTCATTGTTAAGAAATGTAATAGGTTATTGTGATTTATTATTGAGGCTTATGATGTATTGCTATTGATTTATCATTAAGACATTCTCTACCTATTTTTTAAACTTTTAAAATAGTTAAATGGCAAAGTAACTTCTAGAGAATTTTTAATTTCCATTTCTTTCTCATATAGGCCTACCATGTTAAAGAGTTAGTTTGCATTTTTAATTGTTATTTTATACTTATTTTTCTAAAACTTGTGTGTGTGAGACTTTCTTGACTTTGTATTTTTTACTCCTTGTGGAACATAGGACCTCAACCATTTTCTTCCACTTTGTACTCTCTTTGGGTGTGTATTTTTCCATCTCTCAAGACATCCCTTCCTGCAGTCTTTATTTCTTTTAGAAGTCTCTGCTTCCAGATCTATCTCAGGCACCCTCTCTGTCAACTCACCTGAGAGTACCTGCGTGTGCATTAGTAGATTTGTTTTCTAAGCCAATGTTCTTGAATACATACAATAGCAATGTAAACTTAAAGTATTATTTCAATGCCATAAGTAGACATAGGAATGTAATATAGTCCTGGAACAGACAGAGCAGCTTTGGGGTCGTCCATAAATGACGTCACACTTGTAAGGGGGAGGGGGGATCCGTAATTTTGTGACAGTGTGTGGGGAGGGGGCATTCAGATGGTGTGATGTCACACTTTTGCATTATAAAAAAGCAATGTTAGAAAACTCATTTTAGCCGTTATTTGCATTTTATAACACTGTTTTAATAAATTGTAATAGGAATTGATTAAAATAAACCCCCCATTCCACTCTGTACCAAAACACCTTTATGAAGACTTGCGTGAGTGTTATAAATTTGTTATTTTGCTTTGACCACTCAGAGTGCGAGAGGACTTCCAGGTTAGAAGTGAGACCAAATTAAAACTGCTAACAGACATGGAGGAGCTGACCCAGAACCTGGTCAACCTGACCCTAACTGGCAGCGCCACGCCTTACCTGCACAACGGGGAGATTTTGTATGACGACAGAGGAGCCTTGCTGGTAACTTGGTTTACATGTACATGGGAGTTAGAGTAGGACAGATGAAGTAGAGCTCATGTTTCTGTAGCCTTTGTTTATAAAAAGGATAATGTAGTCAATGCTGTGCCTAGCTGTCTTTGTTTGATTGAGTCTTTATTGGACTCTCATGTGGCTCAATTGTCTTAATGGTGTGGCACATGGGAGTTAGAGTAGGGTAGATGAAGTTCTGTAGCCTTTGTTTATAAAAAGGATAATGTAGTCAATGCTGTACCTAGCTGTCTTTGTTTCATTGATTCTTTATTGAAGGCTCATGTGACTCAATAGGGCTGGTAAGTAGGTCACCAAACAGTTATGTGGCTCATGCAGGTTTTATAGAGCCGTAGAACTGGATGGTGACCTACTTACCAGCCCTATTATCTTAACAGTGTGGCTGTGGCGGGGATTTTTTTATTGCTCAATCATTTATGGTAAACATACAGAGAAGGGGGCAGGGTGGGTTTGATAAGGAGTTATCCTGTGAGGGGTAGGGGGAGGGAATTAACAAAAAAAAATAAAAAAAAAAAAAAACAAGTACCAATCAAAGATTTTTTTCCAACAGTCTTTTTTATTTTTCTCAAAAAAATGTACTTGAAAAAATAAATAATCATGTTGTAAGTATTGAAATGTACACAGACGGGATAAAGGTTATAGACCAAGTAAATGTAATCAATTTTCATGTGGATGTTATTTATTGATGACACCTAAATTTTATAATGTTTACTCACAATATCTGTTCCTTCCTCTACTAGACTGATTTAAACAAAGTACATAATAAAATTAGCCATCCTTTGTTTTTCTAGCCTCATCCAGTTCATGGCATTAGATCAAGGAGTGGTGTAGGATTTTTGTTTTGGGACAAGGGAGAAGACCCAGAGAAAAGGACTGAGGTAAGAGTTATTTTTTTGTGCTTGTGTACTAAATTGTTGGTGTGAGTAGTAACATCATTAATCCTCACAGACACTTGATGCCATGAAAAGCAAAATGAAACGTAATAAATGGAACATTCAGTAAAATTATTGAGCCATCTTGAGGTTCTGTTAAAATTAAGATTTGGTCAAGGGTTGTGTGTAGACCTAATGTTAAGTATAGAATAAAGTATCAAGATGCAAAAAAAAATGCCTGAAAAACATCTTAAATATTGAAAGAAATTGTTACAAAATAATCATTCACAATTTATTTTATTTTATTTTTTTTTGTATTTGATTACCATTCTCCTTATAAGTCGCTTATGTCCAGAAAGAAAACTATTTTATTATTTCCTAGGTTGGTTCCATGCTGAAAACCCCAACAAACCCAATCTGGGTAACCAAAGTCAATGGCATATTTGGCCTACTTTTTAGCCTGAACCCAGATTTAGTGAGTGACTGGAGGGTTGAAAACAAATTTACCATGTGGTATTATACAGGCTCAGTGATGCAAGCTAAACCCACTGTCTTATCTATAGGTATGTGTCAGTTATTTGTTAAGGGGAGTGTGATTAAGCTTTAAAAGGAAGTGTGTTATAGTGTGTGGTGGAAGATATGAATGTGTCATTATACGATTAAAAGGAAGTTTGAGTTAATCCAACATTTTGGAAAACAAAGTTTAAAAAAAACATCAAGAAAATAAACAATGACATTTAGATTGGGACTTCATCAGAATAATTTGTTAAGCATTCTTTGGATGATTATTCCTTGTTTGTTTTATGGTGAGCAATGAATCACAGATAAAGAGATACATTGAATGAAAATGAATAAAATTTTCCATGAATGATGGTCAACATCAATTGAAGCTTAAAATTTTGTGTAAACCTAATTTTACAGTATAAAAGAGTTCTCACAGAGTTAATAGTAGATTTTAATGTTTATTATCAACTAGAAACAAGAATTGGGAGACCTAGACCAAAGACTGGCTTTGCTAGACGAGAGGAGGAGAGCAAGATTCCCCCACTGGAAAACTGTATCATGACCAAGTAAATTTTGTTTCCTTACATTATATTCTGTGGGGCGGCATGGTCTAGTAGTAGAGCACTGGACTTTTAACCCAAAAGTCTCGAGTTCGAATCCAGTTTTAATTCAGGTTCAGTAGAACGTCCTTGAGTCCACTCAGCTGTGATGGGTACCCAACTCATGTTAGGGAATGTAGGTGGCTGACCACACTATCCCTTCATAAGCAGAGGTCACAGAAACAGGTGAACTTGCCTCAGCTAGAAATGTCAAATATTCAACACCTGACTGGGATTTCTAGTGACCTACTTTTAATGATGTCTTGTTCTTGTTTTAGTAACCCACTTTAAATATCTTGTTCCAATGACATACTTTTAATGATGTCCTGTTATAGTGATCTAATTTTAATAATGGCTTGTTTCTGATGACCTAATTTTAATGATGGCTTATTATGATGACCTACTTTTAATGCCATATTGTTCTAGTCACCTACTTATACTTATAATGAATTTTAAAATAATCTAATTCAGATGGTATGGGGCAGATGTAAAATGGAATGGATCAGCACCATTTTTGTAAGACTTCACAATAGACCAGACTTAAGTAAGGATGATTGGTTTTTTGTAAGGCTTCAATAGAATCATGAAATATATTGGCACAATTTTTGTAAGATTAATACAAGACTAGTGTAAAAGGATCAAGACTTTCTACAGACAAATATTTGGATTCCTCTCTGATAGTTTTTCTTGTGGTGAGATGCTTTAACAATTTTTTTTTAGAAACATTTCTCATTGTTATTGTGGGATATTTTTTAGTCTTGTGACTTCTAAGATGTTTCCACTAATGTACATACACTACACTGCTAAATACAGTATTCAGCGTGAAACAATCCAAATAAGTTCGTCAATGTTTTATTGTTAATTTGTTGAGCATAATATAAGTATTGTTATCATTTTGAAAAAAGATTATAATATTAGTGTAACAAATAACAGTAACATGTTTTCATGCCATGACTATAAAGTGTTAAGTAATATTGTAATGAGCATCTAATATTTAATTTAAGCATGCATTTGTATGTGTTACATTTTTAAAAAAAAATTATTTATTTATATTTATATTTATTTATAAAAGTATCACCTGTTTTAAAATTTGACTTTGATAAATAGATGTGATATTGTTTTTTTTTAATTTGTATTTTATTGTCAATTCCATTAGAATTTTTGAAGTCTTTCACTCATTTGACTCAGTGTGATTAAAGTATGAAAGATAACTCTAGAATATCTAAGTAACAGTATTATTTGTTTTGTTGCTTTGTGTTCATCATATGAATACATTATAAGTGGCCAAAATGCTTTTTTTTCTGATCTCTAATAGTGTTTATTGATTATGATAACATTTTCTGATTGATAATTCCATTTTGTAGGGTAAATTTCTACATGTAGATCTAGAACCTTTGCTAACTGGTAAATCTTGTTTGTATTTTTACCATTCTATATATCCTGGGGTTTATCAAGTTCTGTAGGATTTCTCTGGGTCTATCCATATCTGTGGGATCTTCCTGGGTCATTCCAGATCTAAAGGCTGCCATGGTTTGTCTAGAAAAGTAGAGGCAGCAGGGCATTGTACTAGCCACAGAACCCTTCACACACATGACAACAGAATTACACATGCCACCTTGTGTCCTATGGGTTTTATATTTTATATTGAGAACAGAGTTTCTTCCCAGCATCTTTTCGGGGGGGGGGGGGGGGGGGGGGGGGGCGAAGAAAGTCTACCGCCCCGAACGAAATGGAATTTATATAGAAAATACATTTAACAGTACCCCCCCCCCCCCGAGAAAAAAGTCTGGTACAAACACTGATTGAGAATAGTTTCCTGAAATTGTATTCTTTTAAAGTTGTTTTAATAAACAATACCTTGGGTATTTTATCCATCCTGGCATCTTTTTATTTTGTCCCACCTAAACTGTGTAGCCTACATTCCCTGAGAAGACCAACTTTTTATTTTGTCCCACCTGAACAGTGTACATTCCCTGAGAAGACCAACTTTTTATTTTGTCCCACCTAAATTGTGTACATTTCCTGAGAAGACCAACTTTTTATTTTGTCCCACCTAAACTATGTACATTCCCTGAGTAGACCAACTTTTTATTTTGTCCCACCTAAATTGTGTACATTTCCTGAGAAGACCAACTTTTTATTTTGTCCCACCTAAACTATGTACATTCCCTGAGTAGACCATCTTTTTATTTTGTCCCACCTAAATTGTGTACATTTCCTGAGAAGACCAACTTTTTATTTTGTCCCACCTAAACTATGTACATTCCCTGAGTAGACCATCTTTTTATTTTGTCCCACCTAAATTGTGTACATTTCCTGAGAAGACCAACTTTTTATTTTGTCCCACCTGAACAGTGTACATTCCCTGAGAAGACCAATTTTTTTTTTACTTTTTAAAAATAATGGCACCACAAAAAACTATGCAATCCATTTTTCCTTATTTTTTACACTTTGAGAATGGTTGATTTAGATAAAGCATTAAAAGTATTCTTCCAGCAAAATGCTCTTGTATAATTCAGCATTTTTTCTTAAATGTATGTTACTAATAACTGATTATGAATTTTAAATCTGTTTAACTAAGGTATTTTCCATTTTGTTTTGTTGCATTTTCCATGCTAAGAATGTATTTTTCTTAGCCCCTGCAATACAGAGTTACTGTTCTTATGAGTTACTGAAAGCTCTAGGCCTACACATTTTTTAAATTCAAAAGTTTGTATTAAAGCCCAAAGTCATGAATTACTTTACTGTTAAAACATCTATGGATGTTCAAGAGGATAAAAACATGTACAAATTTTGTAGCAGTATTAGATACCATTTTTATAAACATTAACTCATGTTTGTTAAGTAATATCTATAACATATATTCCTAAAAAGTATTTCTTTGATTTTGTGAGCTACTAACTTGATGTTTTATTAATAGTTATTGTATTTTTGTGTAGTTCATCTGGGGCATATGTCCCTAAAATTTTTTTGCTTCATCTGTTGCTACTGTATTACCTGATATTTATTTTAACTTATGAAATTATTGAAGTTCAGTAGAAAAAAAGCAATTAATTTATTTTGGAGTGTTCAAATAACTGTAATATGTTACATTTTGTAATACTAACATTAAAAATAATTTGAAGACTGTGAATATTGCAAAGATTTCTTTTTCTCTTTGTATATCACCCTTGTCCCACCTAATCTAGATGTGCAGTGTAAACATATGGCAGTCCTTTTGTAAAACAGGGTAAACATGTACACACTTTTGCATAACACCACCCACAGAATATATATTTGGCACATAGGCCTACTTGGAATCTTATAAAAATGTGGGTTATCGAAAAAAAAAAAAACAACTTGTGATGTGATTGAATGTTTTATCCAAAATCATGACTGTTAATGACTGAATATATTGTCTATTGTGGCAACAATGATTTTAATTCCTGGCATTTAAATATCAGATTATTAAGTCAAATGTACAAAACCACATCTGATAGAGTAATGGCACAAGTAAATCATTTTTATTATAAGTCACACCAGTTAAACTGATAATTCTTTAAAAATTCCATCTGATTACAGTCCAATCTATAGCCTTAGTTATTGAGAGTTTGGAAACAGAAATAGTATTTATATTTTAGGAGCATGATGTTGGGTTTTTATAAAACTTTAAAAAATCTTCATCATCTCAATGTCTATTAAACAAGCTATTTGTTCATTAGGAATAAAATACTGTGTGCTCTGTAATCCAAAGATGATATCCACAATAAATTGGAAATGGTCGAATTTTAGATATGTCATCTAGGGCTGACTCCTTTAATTAAGTCCAATTAAAAACCTTAATTGTTTCATTAGCAAAGCTTGTGGCAGTCATTCATTCAAACAAACAAGCACATAACACTGTATCTTCAGAAACAGAAACAAACCAAAAAAAAACATGCTGATATAAAATGGTATTATTTCATATACATAGAGCTCGGGCAACTGTATAATTGTACATGTGTGCAATGCATTTCTATACAGAAATAAACTTACAAAGGAGCAAAGTAAAAAAAAAATATTTTACATTAGATTTTTAAACTACCAAAATTTTTGACAATGTGATTTTTTTATACAGGCATATCTACACCACCACAAAGGTTCTTTATAATGATCTGAAATGAAGAAAAATCTGGGTATTTTTTTTTCTGTAATTATAAGTAAAGCTGGCAGAACTGGATCTCTCAGAAATTTTTTGGATGCTAGCAAAGAATTGAGGAATGGTTACTTTGGAGAGTATGACTTCAAACTTTTTACATGACCAAAACTAAATTTAATAATGAAAAAAAATTAGCCTGCTACTTCAGAATCATACACCAGGCCCAATGCAGAGAATTATTTTTTTTATAATTTTTAAACACCTCAAGCATTATAAACAGCATTACATGATCTCCACACTCATAAAGATCTCATCTCTGCTGTTATATTTTTAACATTTTTGTTATTAAAAAAAAAATTAATAGAAAAACACATTGTGAGAAAGGAAGCATTATTTTTTACATCAGATAACTCAAAACTTTTCTATAAAATCTTTGCATGAATTGTTTACAGAATTTTAAAAGCTAAATTAAATTTTTAAAATAGGAGACTGCAATCAAACCCAAAGTGACACAATGTTAAGGCACTAGCTATATTAAAAAAAAAAAGGTTTAAACTTATGGCGACCTCACTATTCAAACTGTGGTGACCTCACTATTCATCTGGTAATGACCTCACTATTTACACATCTGTTAGCTACTGATCACCCCTTGAGGAACACATACAACTTAATTTGGCTCTACAAATGTACTCAGCATTGTGAAGTCTAAGGCAAACAAAGGTACACAATGATTCAGAATTCAAAATGTTTAAATTAAATTAAATGAAAATGGCAAGGCATGGATTTCTCAAAAAAAAAAACACATCAGAGAATTAAAATTTTAAATAAAATTATCTGGTGATGATGAATTTTTATTGGATAGCACTCCAGTACCACATACGCAAGTAGGATAAGTTAGTTTTTCAAGCATTTATTTTAAAAATTAAAATGATTAGGCCTAACTAAAATAAATAATTAAATATTTTTCATACCAAAATCTGTTAAAGTTAAATCCAGAAACTATAGAAAGTTTTTACACAAATCCTGAATCCCTATCAACACATACAGATATTGTATATGACTTGGTCCCATCTCTAGGTAACTGCCAAATCTGGACTGACTTGGGCTAATGGACTTGATCAAATATGGATGCCATCATATTTTACACACATTTGATTATTCTTAGCAGCAAAAAAATAAACTTGTGTGAAAAATTTTTGTGTTAAAGATTGAATTTACAAACTGATTTATCTGATTACAATTTTTAAGACATTTAAATTTTAAAATGACAGAAAAATTATTATTTTGATATAGGTTAATTTTAATGGAAGATAATGAGGATACAAGAAATAAATGAATCTTAACAATATGAGCAAAGTTTATACAAAAAAACATCTCATTCACTCCTTTTTAGACACCAACTGTACAAGAAACTGGAGCAGGAGGTCACTTGACACTGAAACAAGGTCAGCCTGACACTTATACTTGAAGTCTGCACATCCATTTTAAGCCTACAAATTTTGCATAGAGTTACAGCACATAGATTCAAACGAAGGTTTTGATTAGTTAAATATCAATGTTGTTTTTTAGAGTGCATTTCTTTTGACTTAAATTTTTTTTTAAAATACATATTTGTCAGCTCCTGTGTTTTAATACAAAAAAATCATATAAAGACTTTTCTCAAATATCCACTTTACATTAATTTTAAATAATAAATACATAGTATAAACAAACATTATTGAATATTGCTAACCAAAGTAAAATAATGTAGACATTGCCAAGTATGGACTGCTAATTGTGAGTTTAGTATTGCTTTATTTACATTATTTCATTTCTTACTTGATCCTTACTTAAACATGTTTACCACAAATCAAAAATAAGAATTAAGCAGCCAAAAGGTATGCCAAAATTTGTAATTGAACAAATACAATATTTCAATTCTTTTACAGATTACACACTTTTTTTGGAGTAAATAATACATTGTGCAGAATATTTTACAGACTAACATACAAATTTATCAGTGTTTAAATAACAGACAATTACAAGCAAAACAGAATACTATATGTAACAACTGCAACAAGCGGAATATACAGATACAATTTTTTAAATAGTATTGACAACTTGCATGAAAACTACATAAATGTAAGACGAGCAATACAATTTATAGTTCAATTAGTTCCCCATAGTATGACGTGTGTGAAAGCTACAGAAACGTTAGACAGAAGACGCTATTTCTAATTGAATTTCTTGCCCATGGTTTGACAAGGTGCGTGAAATCTAGGGGAACTTAAGACAGACAATGCTATTTATATATGCCCATATTTTGACAGTGAGCTTAGTAATAAAACAGATAGTGTTAGTTACCTCACAAGTTAAAGACAGTTACAAGTACTATGGACGTTTCGACCCAAGGTCTTCGTCAGCACACAACAGTGTGATTACAGATTAGACAAATAAAGACAAACAGTAACACATTTTTTGACTTAGCTCGACAGTGAAAACACGTCTTGTCTGCTAGCCACGATATCCAAGACAAGACGTGTTTTCACTGTCGAGCTAAGTCAAAAAATGTGTTACTGTTTGTCTTTATTTGTCTAATCTGTAATCACACTGTTGTGTGCTGACGAAGACCTTGGGTCGAAACGTCCATAGTACTTGTAACTGTCTTTAACTTGTGAGGTAACTAACACTATCTGTTTTATTACTAATTACATTAACCTCACTGCAGCTACCATTTGTTTTTTTATCTTTTCGCTGACAGTGAGCTTGCACTAAGACGTATGACCCTTAGTTTCATAGCCCTATAATAATGTACAGTACAAGCTATTAGTTCTATAAATAGCTTTTTCAGTTAACAAATAAAATTTCTAGATGGTTAAAAAAAATTAAACATACACAATAAAATTTTTTAATTTAAAATAAAATTTGACATAAAACATTGCATGAGGATATACCATACATCTAGGTATGTATTGTGACTGTCATGGTTATCTAAAAAATTCATGTGACTTAAATTTAGGGACATAATAAAATGATAAAATTAGAGACTTATGAATGTGTATGATAAAGCTTTTATGTGATGGTTAGGACTTATGAATGTGTACTATGATGCGATGATTGGTTAGACTTATGAATGCACGTAAGAAGGCTAGCGCAGTGTTTTGATGAAACATGTCTATGAAGTAACATCTTTCAAGCTTGTAACGCAGTAGATAACAAAATGAAAGCTGCATGTAACATATGGTGAAACTTTACATTTTCACACACTGTTGCTTCTCGTTCTACTTAATGGCATAGCATTTAGTTAATTTATTTCTTATGAGGTTTTATGATTCCCCTATGTATTGGTTTATGTAATTTGAATTAATAGCGAATATTTGACACTAAATTTGCAAACCATTTACCTATCTATTGTAAGCCAGTAAAGATAAAAATATTATTTAAAAACCTGTTTTGACGTATTGTATACAATTATAAACATATTTAATAGCTGTAACAGTACTTTAGTACAAAGTGAGTATTTATCCGCACATTTCTACAAGTGATTTCTCATACCAAGTGTTAAGAAAAAAAATTTAATTATTGAACTGTGGTTGTAAAAAAAATAAAAAATAAATCAGCAACAGTATTGTTGTTTGTATGGGAAAAATGTATGTGACCTTCCAGAAGGTTTAAGACAGTCAGCACATACGCCAACCAATAGGATAAAAAAAAACATTCTTTGGTTAAGTGCTAGCTTGGGAACTTCCCCAAAAAAACAAAAGTGGCGCAAGCTCAAACTACCTGCATGTAAACTGTAGGGGAACCAAAAGGGAACTTGGTTCAGTAGGGAACTAAACAGGGAACATAATCTAACTCACCTAGGCTAAAATTAAAAATTTTGGTTTAAAACGCATTCTTTATAATCTTCTGTGTGATAATACTTACAATTTTCACTATGTACTTTCAATTCGAATATGTATTTTTAATAGTGTAAAATCTGAGCCACAACAAGCTTTGAGCTAGAGTGACTGTTATGAAACATATGCAATTAAAACAAATTAGCTAAAATAAACGAGATACCATTTGGAATAATTATTAAAATATTTTCCAACTTAAAAAATGCTGCTAAATTACAAATATAAAATTTATATGACAGCCTGGAATAGGCAATTAATTCTACTGTTAAAAAAAGTTTCCTTTCAACATATCTACACATAACACACTTATTGGAAGACCCATCTCTACATAGCCATTTCAGCTACCAACATATCTAGGGAAACAAATCAGGGGAAGTAACACACGCAGACATTATTATTTCCCTTTCATTGAGAAAACATCAAGTTTGATGGTTGGTAACAAATGTTTGCAAATTTTAATAAATCATGTATCATCTGACCACACACACAAAAATAAATAATCATCATCTAGTTTAGAGAATATTAATTATCTATCATCTAAATGAATTTTCGAGTAATTTGAAGCATGAGTCCTCCATCGTATAGGTGTAAAAATGTAGTACTAATTGTAAAAAAAAACAACTGTAAATAAATACAAATGATTAAGTCCCTTGCAGTATTTATACTATGAGTTATGTCCCTTTCCATGTTTACGTAATTTTCGAAACAGCACTTCTCTATCCTAGCAAACAACTTGTCATCGAAACAAAACAATTAAGCATGACAAAAATAACTGCAGCATCAGGAGCTAAAGCTGAATTCCACTCATGAATAAGGTTGATAGATGGGGCAGCGTCATTCAGCAGGAGACTGTCTAGCTGGTCGCCATCATTGTATGCATTCAGTAGTGTCCCCTTGTTACTATTTTTATCACGCAGGCATTCATGTACATGCACTATCATCACAGAATTTTTATCTAAAGGAGAGAAAAGAAAACAAATAAAAAATGTGACAAAAACGATAATTATAATTCATAATATTGAATAATAGTATCATCAGACTTTTAAAAAATTGTAAAAAACATATAAGGTAGACTATGTGGTCTAAATATACATGTAATGCAATAAGAATAATCATGTCTAAATGCAGCTAGACAGAATTAATCACACTGCAGGGATTGAGTCATTACATAAAATTCCTTATACAAGTTAAAACAAAAGTCACCAATCTGTATTTTAATCATAATAAAACCCAGCGTAACTATACATGTTATCACATCTTGATTTAATGTTTAATTTTTTTTTAATTGGGGAGGGGAGGGGGGGGGCAAGATCAATACCAATAGATTCCCCTGAAAACCGCCGACTTAGACTTAACAAATTAATATTTCATTTCCAGTGAGCAAGGCAAGGACAGGGCATTCCCCCTCAACCCCCTCCCCCCCCCCCCCTCACAACAGAATCGACTCCCCCTTGACTCCCCCAAACAGAGCGAGCGACCATATTTAATTGGTCTTTTAGTGGCGTCAGCTACAAGCGGGATAGGTGGTGTTTCTCGGCTGAATTAATTGAAGGCCGCGTTACGGCGGTGACAAGACCAACACGCGTGAAGCTTCGTAGGTTTACTACTAACACAACCAGGAGGATATAGGCCGGACCGTATATAAAAGATACTGTAAACCCACTCATTCAAAGAAGGATACCACGGAAACGATGAATAAGCTTGACGTCACTTTTTAATATTTTTTTAAGGCTAACTGAAATAATAGCCAACGTTTGAAATGTTAGAGTTTGAACACATACCATGATGACCCACACACACAAATGGGCCAACTTATGAAATGCGGAATATACAACATACCATGTACCAACAACAATAACGAAACTTTGGAACGTGATTGTCTGAACATCTACCGTACCACGATGATCCACCCAAAAAATGCCTAACTTATGAAAGTGAGTCGTCTGAACATGCACCATAGCTAGAACCAAGCTAACAACGCGTAGAACAGTAGTTCTCAACCTTTTTGGTGGTATCTAACCCTACCAGTTTCTCATATGCGCATACACAGCACTGACAAAATCCGATCATGAATCGTATTAGTCGGGTGTGTTTTGACCTCCGCCGAACCCCTGCGACTGACTAACCGAACCCCTGGGGTTCAATTGTACCCATGTTAAGAACCACTGGTGTAGATGTGCCGTGAACTGGTTACAAATATTTCATCTCTTTTCATCGATCTCGGCCAGCCAACATCAGCTTTATTTTTATCGACAATCATAGCAACAAGCACAGCACCAGACCGAGGCTTATGGGTGTAAGTAGTGATCAGGTCACGCTGACCTAAGTCCGGGCTAAAGCGGAAATCACGTGACGGACGCTATCGAAGTATAGTCATGTGTATAAGTTCAGTGTTTATAGGATATCAGGTTTCAGAAAATGGAATGTCATATACTGTTTCGTACGTCATAAATTGTTTTCCCTTTCACCTGTAAATCAAGCCCAACCTTATGGTACGACTAAGCCAAGAGTACCAGGGCGTTTAACTGAATGGGCATCCCCTACACGAGCGCATCCATTCGTATTAGTCACTTCCAAGAGTCAGAATGGCATCGAGACCCATATCTGTGAACTAAGACACATAATCTATGCCAATATACGTGAGTTTATACAAATAAAAGACACTTAAAAAGCGCCGGGAAAACGGACACATAAATATTGTACAAAATATTTCATTTAAAAAAGAGGGAGGGTAGGGTAGAAGAGACAAACCCCACGGCAACTAACAAGAGTCGGGGCCAGGACAATCACGGTAATTTATGAGTCAGAGTCATTAGCGCGTGAGCTTAGTTTTTTATATCACGGTTATCACACATTGGGCGGGGGGAGGGTGAGTACAAAGAAAGTGGAGGGACGTGGTGAGGGTGTACTTTTAGGGGAGGGTAGGCTGACAAAAGACAATTATATGGCAATACAGAGAGCTGTGGGAGTTGGGGTTAATGCGGGTGTACAGGTGGGGGGGGGGGGGGTCGCTGTGGTGGGGGGGGGTAGGGGGTAAATATGTGGTAGGGGGTAACGATGTGGTGGTAGGGGGTAAGGGATGTTTCGGTAGGATTTGTGTAGAGGGAGTGTATATCACGTTCAGTGTGCGTGTGTGTGTGCACGTGCGTGTTAGACCTAAAGTCAGGCCAGTTGTGTGGCCAGAAGTAGGACTAGCTGGATGGCCAGCTACAAGATGTGAAGGCCATCTCTAAGGCGTGTGGTAGAAACAGCTGTATGCTAGAGTAGCAGTTGGAAGGCCAGTTGTAGGACTAGCTGTGGGGGCCAACTACAACACCAGATGTAAGACCTGTAGTAGAAACAGCTGCATGCTAGAGTAGCAGTTGGAAGGCCAGTTGTAGGACTAGCTGTGGGGGCCAACTACAACACCAGATGTAAGACCTGTAGTAGAAACAGCTGCATGCTAGAGTAGCAGTTGGAAGGCCAGTTGTAGGACTAGCTGTGGGGGCCAACTACAACACCAGATGTAAGACCTGTAGTAGAAACAGCTGCATGCTAGAGTAGCAGTTGGAAGGCCAGTTGTAGGACTAGCTGTGGGGGCCAACTACAACACCAGATGTAAGACCTGTAGTAGAAACAGCTGTATGCTAGAGTAGCAGTTGGAAGGCCAGTTATAGGACTAACTGTGGGGCCAACTACAACACCAGATGTAAGACCTGTAGTAGAAACAGCTGTATGCTAGAGTAGCAGTTGGAAGGCCAGTTATAGGACTAACTGTGGGGCCAACTACAACACCAGATGTAAGACCTGTAGTAGAAACAGCTGTAAGACCAAGCGTAAGGCCAGCCAGATGTTGAATCAAACGCTGCGTAATCTCCGGTCCCATTTTAAATGAGTACGGCCTTGTGACGTAACAAAGAGACCACACACCCACCCCGGCTACGTCAACCCAGTATAGCACGCAACATTGTCAAATTTCATCTTTAACCCCCCCCCCCCTTAACTAATGATATTATTATACACCCCCAGCAAAGGGTTTCTCTACAATCCACTGGGTATGGGAGGTAATTGATATCGATATTTTTTTATCTGTGTACTCGAAACCGTCCCCGCCCCGCCTCTTTGTTAGCTCCCCAGCGGCTCAGTAGCACCTGCGTCATCAGTTCCTTTATTACACTCATACCAAGGCGCATAACTCTGGCACCGTGGTTGTTTACATCACGAGAGTTAACCCCCTTTACATGTCCTTGTTTTAAAAAATCAATATCCAAAAAATTAATATAATTGTATCAATAGAAATGAATTGTACATTCCCAAATAATAAGCTAGCAAAAAATATTTTTTCTAAACTTCACTTTAATCTTTATTTTTTTCTCACTAGTCAGCGGAAATCAATACTATCAAAAATAGGTTGAGCAAAGAACATTATTTTATAAAGTATCTGAAGTAAATAAAGTGCTATCTGCCAACTTTATAGTAATCCACACAGGCCGGGTATGGGGGTGGTATCAATATAAAAAAAGCAGCAAACTCCACCATACAATATACACGTAAAACAAGAAAGTCTTAGTAATAAACAGTTATGTATGATAGACCAACAACGATTCTTCGTTTAAACACAATCTCGAAAATCTAGCGCTGGGCGTGTGACAGCGAATACTAGTTGCTATTTAAGTACCAAACACACTGAAACCCTCCTGATATTAAATCTTCTAATAAAAAGAAAGAGTCAAATAAAATAAAAAACCTAGCCAATTGTGTTTAAGTCGAGCGAACCGACCCCCTCCTCGCCCCAACATAAGACGTATTGTTTAGTAATACGTCGTCTTTCCTTGACCGCTGAATCTTAGGCTCACTCTAACGTGAGGCCGCTAAGCGCTTTGTTACCAAACAGAAGCACGGATTTTTTTTAGTGGGAGGGGGAGGGGGTGTAGGGGAAAAGAAAGAATCAATTTGGCAATGCTCCCGAAATATCTTGGTGGTGTGGCTCAACATCTTTTAAGAGTGAGAAAGGTGAAGGTCGATTTGTAGGGGCGCAAACAGAATGTGATCTCTCACAACACGTGCAGAGACGGTTTTCACGGGTTGGACAATTCCATCAACAGACATGACAATATCACAACAACCCGGACATTATTACAACAACCCGAACAACATCCCAACAACACGGCCAATTCCATCAACAGACATGACAATATCACAACAACCCGGACATTATTACAACAACCGGAACAACATCCCAACAACACGGCCAATTCCATCAACAGACATGACAATATCACAACAACCCGGACATTATTACAACAACCGGAACAACATCACAACAACACGGTCAATTCCATCAACAGACAGGACAATATCACAACAACCCGGACATTATTACAACAACCGGAACAACATCACAACAACACGGTCAATTCCATCAACAGACAGGACAATATCACAACAACCCGGACATTATTACAACAACCGGAACAACATCACAACAACACGGTCAATTCCATCAACAGACAGGACAATATCACAACAACCCGGACATTATTACAACAACCGGAACAACATCACAACAACACGGTCAATTCCATCAACAGACAGGACAATATCACAACAACCCGGACATTATTACAACAACCGGAACAACATCACAACAACACGGCCAATTACACCAGACATGACAATATCACAACAACACGGACAATTCCACCAATAGACAGGACAATATCACAACAACCCGGATAATACGATAGAAACCGGACAATTCCATGACACCCTGACAACTCCATCAACAGTTGATATCAAGCCTAGACCATTGGTCTCACGCAGTATCGACGCTCTCAATAATTCCTCAAATCAAAGACAATAAACTCTCTATTTCCTTCTGTAATAACATCCTTTTAATTGTCCAAAGTTTACAATACACTGGTTCGTGCCTTTCAGATCTGGTCTCTGGACTATACATTAAATAGTTTTCAAAAT